TTTTTTATTTAAACACCGCCTGCAAACGGGGAGATGAGGGTGGCTAAAATATATTCTGCAACCCTGTCTCCTCGTTGGCTACAAATTTCAACCCTCCGCATACATGCCTTCCCCTTCACCCGCTCGTAAAATCGCGCGTTCTCGGTATCATCGACTAGGACTTCTCAGGACCGAAAAGAACTGAGGATTCGAAAGGTCTCTGGAAAAGTACGTCGCAGAACTGATTAGGACTTACCAGGTCCATCTAGGTCTGGAGAGATCTTGAAAGACCTGTGTACGTCCAATCAGAACCAAATCCTCGACTCGGGAATTAGAAGTGCTAAAGGCTATTATGTATACTTTCACGAAAATACCTTCTTCCACTCGTTAAAGTTCACACATGTTTGAATAATTGATTTGAAAATTAAAGTTTTAAAGTTTGGGTGAGAATGTCCACAACACTTCACAATGGCGGAATCCCTTATATGTAGGAAACGTCACCACTCTCGATTGGAAGAGATATTCATCTCTCAAAATTCTCAATTGTTCGCTGTATATTAATTTAATAGCTATCCCCGTAACATCGTCTTTGCGGCCTTTATCGGAAGAAAGATTGAGAAACCTGAATCGATTGGATGAGCTATTTCCACCAGAACTGTCACCGATCCGCGATGGCTTCGAGACTGCTTATTCCCTTCAATTTTCGGGAATATATTCATTTGCGGGGTGACACGTGAGTGGGGAGAAATGACGTGATTTTTCCCTTTTTTAATTTCTGGCGGGAAAAGTAGCCCATCTGATCGATTTTCAGATCGATTCGTAATTCTCAGTCTTTCATAACTGCGCAAAAACTCAGAGTTCGGAAACGGAGTCATGCTGAGCAAGGCATTTCGTCATGGATGCGCCCGTTTCTTTCGTTTGGATTCTCAATGTTTCAAGTTATGATTGAAGAACCGGGTTAAATTCATTGGCGACATCTCTTGATGATTCGAATTTGATTCACTTTGGTTGTAATTTTGCATAAGATGTTTACATGAAAATTTGGGGCGTGCTGAAAGGGGCATTTCGTCACTGATGAAATCAATTCTTTCGATTTACAATGTTTGGATTCTTATCGAAAGAATTGGGTTGAATTTATTGACGAAATATCTCCGCAAATTTAGCTCATGAAATTCACATTAAAAGAAATTCTTTCCACAAAAATTTTTAATTTTGTTTTTAAAATTCTGGACATCACAAAGTTCAACACCATGAAGTATTCCGAAATAAAATGAAATGTATTTTTCTCAAGATAATAGTAGAATAGAAAATTCGGCAAAATGCCAGTGACATAATATTTGCGATTTGCACATGTGCGGGAGAGTACTCCCGCGAGCAAAGGCTCGACACAATCCGAAATCTATTAATCCTCTGAATTTCCGAAATGTTAATTTTCAGAAGAGAATAACTGAATTTTATGAAATTACAACCTTAGACATTTCAATTTATGACATGAGAGAAAACTCTACACGCAAGATGACTCGATACAGAAGAACATTATTTAATCAAATAACTCAACATGTTAAGCATCAATAATTAATCAATATTTACACTCAGAAATAAGTAATCCAAATCATGGATTAAAATAATCAGCCAAAGGCCACTAAAGTATTTATTATTATTCGAGGGCGTAGAAAACGCTAACCGTATGCGAAAATCACCCGAAGCGCGACGACGCGAAGGCCACACGAATACAAAAGAATGAAATTTCTCAAATCACAAATTCCGAATAATCGATGAAAAGACAAATGACTAAAATAATTGTTCAATAATAAAGAATAACAAATTAGGTCAAAGACCACTGATTGCCGCGTCCCGAAAGCAAAGGCTCGAAGGTTAAACTCAAACGAAGCCAAAATGGCGACCGGAAAATAAATTCAGTAGAACACGCGTGCACTCACAGAATAAATTTCGCTCATTGTTAATTACGCGAGAATAACTCCAGGGAAAACTTCTTGATTCTCAGATATAGTAGCGATGTCAGAATGTAGACCGAAAAATCCAGGCACTACGGCAAGAGATGGGTTGTATAATCCCAAGAAAGCTCCAAGAGCATAAAAAAGCTAAATTGTGAATTTATTATATAATCTCTTTCAATAAATTTCTCAGATACTGCTCCTTATCATATGAATTTACTGTATATGAATATGGATTTATCATATTTATCATATCAATTCTTCGTCATAAAGTCGTATAAAAGAGGAAAGTCTGAGACTCGCCGTATCAGTCTGATTTCGTCATTTGAAAATCTTCAGAGATGCGTGCTATTTTCATTTTTGCAATTTTCCTTGTGCTTGCATACACCGCACGTAAGTATTCCATGATATATTCATTCTTTGCGTCTGAATGAAAGCATTGAAATCTTTGAAATCCAAATTTCCGGTTTTTTAGATTGGGATAAATAATTTCGGACTCAGAAATCAGAATATTTCTACACCATGTTCGTATGCATAGGTGTGATT